TGTATGTTTGTATGTATGTATGTATGTATGTATGTATGTATGTAATGTATGTATGTATGTATGTATGTTTATATATGCATGTATGTATGTATGTATGTATGTATGCTTTGTTGATATGAACTGAGAAGCACACACGGATTGTAATAGCACAACGCTGCGTGGCTATGGGTTGTACTTATAACATGCATAAGGGCTCTGAACATTTGAAGCATTACCACTTAACCCCGACTCACAGTCTACTTGTATATTTTCCCAAAGGATGTTTTAACATCGCTGTCTTGTCCCATCCGGCCCTGTCCTGTTCTGTTTAGGTGCGGACACGCTAGCGCCGTACGAGCCCGCGGCGGGGGTGAATTGTATGTGTTTGGTGGCGAATACAGCTCTAGAAATCAGGAGAAGTTCAAGCACTACAACGATTTATGGGTATGCCCGTGGCGTAGAACGTGTTTGGTGAATCAAGCACATTTGCGCTACACTGTACTTCGTTGTCACGCACACTGAAGTGTGTGCCTATAAAATGCTAAGGCACATGTGTGTGTAGCCCTCCGCACGTGAAGTGTGGGCCAAAGCGATGGTGATTGCGCCTCTTTCCTTTTTCTCGGAAGTCTTTAGCTTAGCTCGGCGAGCATTCACGCAATATATTGGATGACGCACCCTTTGTAAGAACCTCGCCTCGCCTTATTGACTGCCATGTACGCTCCCTCTGCAGGTATACTACTTCAAGGAGCAAAAGTGGGAGAAACTGACGGCTACAAATGGGCCTACACCGCGCAGTGGCCACCGTATGGTCATTGCCGGGAACTCATTGGTCGTTTTTGGCGGGTACTTTGACAACGGCAAGTCCACTCCCAAGTACATGGATGATGTACACGTGTACGATCTCGAGACGCGTGTGTGGATGCAAACCACCATCACCAAACAGGTCATCAGTCCGTCGGCCCGGTCAGCGTTCCAGGTGCGTGTATGGAGAAGTGTGATTTAAGGCTCTACTTCCTGTGTACATAGCTGAGTGCATTGAGAAATGTTGGCCTAGGCCCTACTTGTTGTGTATATAGGTGCGTGTATGGATAAGTGTGGACCAAGGCTCATACTTCCTGTGTACAAAGTTGGGTGCATTGAGGTTTGTGGGCTCAGGCCCTTCTTGTTGTGTACATAGGTGTATGCATTGAAGGTTGTGGGCCAGGGCCCCACTTCGTGTATATATAGTTGGGTGTATCTCCGTCGTGGTCGATGCCTCACTTTCTGCGTGTATGGGGTGGGGGGTGTAGTAGTCTACTAGTCTTGGATGTTGTGCCCGTGATACAGTCATGTCCGACTGGGATTTGGATATGATGATACAGAGTTGGTTTCTCTGAAGCGCTGGGTGCACTATCCATATACATTCAAACGGCATACGACACGTCCGATCTGTAGATATCTCAAATGGTTGTATTTCTACTTTGTTATGGGTCCTACTGACTGATTGGGCAAAGATTCCGCTTCAGCCCCCTCTAACCCTACCTACCAAAGCACCACTCCCTCCTGCGCCAGGCCCCTCTAACTCTGCTGCCTGCGCTCACGTCCACGCAGATGATCGCCACAGGCGAAGACCGCATACTGGTCATGGGCGGCTACAGACGAGAGAAGGTCAAGGGCATTGCGGAGGAGCAAGGCATGCAACTGGCCGACATGTGGGAGCTCCTGCGCATCGAAACGTCGGCCACAGATATCTCCAGTGTCGTCAGGCCCACGTGCACGTGGCGGTGGCTCAAGCTCAAGGCCACAGGCTCTGTGCCCGGCACACGCACCGGAGTCAACTGTGTGATGAGAGACAACTCCAATCAGGTGCGGTGTAAGGGCTGTGGGGGTCATGTAGGTGTATCATTGAGGCGGTGTGACGTGTAGTTGTTAGGTGGTGTGGCGTGTTGTTGTTAGGTGGTGTGGTGGTACTCCTACACAACCATGTGCTGTGGTGGGTGTAGTGATTTGTGGAGTGGATGATATGTATTCATTTGTGCGTTTGTCGTCACTTATCAACGTCTTAGGATCAGTGGTGATTGCTTTGGTGCATACGATATTGCGTGGTGCGGCTGAGGGTTACATGACATGTACTATGTTATAAGAGGACTTATCCGACATAAACACATATTTGTCAAATAAAACACTTATCCGTTAACTGCACATGTACTCGTGTATGCATGTACGATGCATGCAAGTGATCATGTGTATACGCCATCGTCCGGCTGGCTGTCGTATCGCATCCATCCATCTCTCATATCCCGACCCAGTCCAACCCAGGCTAACCATCAGCACTCCATTTCCTTATTTAGGCATACTCATTTGGCGGCGTAACAGACCAGGAAACAGAATGGGCTGTGTCTGGGTCGTTCATGAACGAGCTGCTGCTGCTCAACACTGAGGAGAACAAATTCCACGAGGTCAGCGTCAAGAAGGGCATGGACTGCAAGGACAAACAGGAGGAGATTGAGCAGGTGCGTATATATATATATATATATATATA